CTCCTCTTTCTTATATAAAACAGCAATGCGTTCAAGAATCTCGAATAGCTCTGGCAATATACATCCCGTATCCAATTTTGATGAAATGGCATGAGCTTGTTGGAATAAAAGACGAGAGAGGAAATGAGTTAAACTACATTGACCTTCTTAATTTTTGGATTCCTGGTCGATGGTTTAAAGTAAGCAAGGAGAACGGATCAAGAATCCACGGAAGATTGAGACGTGAAGCCGGTGCAGTTGTGAACAAATACACTGGGAAGAAAGTTAGTGGAAGTAAGAGAGAAGAGGCAAACAGGAAAGGGCTAACCCTTAACATTTATGAAACTGAGCTTGTGGTGCCTCATGAAATAGAAGAGAATCTGTCTGCTGCAGAGCAAGAAATAAAAGAATGGAAATTGAGGTACAAGGATCTTGAGAAGGAGAAGGAAAGCTTGGCAAGGGGAATGATGGAAGCAATAAGAAGAAAAGAAAATGAAATGGGAGAAACGGTCAAAACTACAGAGGAAAAGTTCAGAGATATTGAAGAAAAAAATAAAGAACTTTCTGAGTACATACAAAATTTAGAGAAAAAGACTGGTTTTCTTTGCCAAGGGAAAACTATAGACAGTTTGGGAAAAAGACAGCAATCGAGAAGACTGAAGGAGCTGAAAGAAAAATCAGAAATTGCCCTCTGGTTTCTTGAGTCACATGGACTCAAGCTGTCTTTTCTCAAGGTCCAGGAGGCAGCAACTAATGAATTTCACACCCTGGAATTTGACCAGTTGTCAGCTAATGAGACTGACCAGAACAACCTAGAAACTCTTCTATTTTTACTGGACAAATTCTGTGCAAGTGATGAACTTTACCATGAGTTGTCTCTTTTGTCTGAAGATTTACCAAGGACATATTTGATCAAACAAAGGAGGAATGAACTGAATAAACTCTGTCATATTGAAAGAACACCAGGTCAATACCCTGGTGCACAACTTTCATTTTCTGAAACTCTACAAGATCACATCAAACAATTTTTGGAGTCAAATTCAAACCACAAAGGTGATGAACCAATAAAGGTAAAGATCAGTTGTGATGGTGCGAAGATGTCGAGGTCAGCAAATTTTATGATAATGTCATTCTCACTCCTTCAAACAGGGGATTTAGTTATGTCATCAAAGGGCAACAGGACAATTGGTGTAGTCAATGGCCCTGAAAAATATGAAACAATTGAGACATCATTTTCAGAAATTATCAATGACATAAATTCTGTGAATAAAAATGGGAAGATCAAGGTTAATGACAAAGAAATAGCTGTTGAATTATTTCTCGGTGGAGACTACAAGTTCTTGCTGATGGCCATGGGGATGTCTGGGGCTACCTCAGACTATGCATGCCTTTGGTGTAAGGTGCACAAGCTTTTCAGGTGGGACATGTCCAAAGATCTGTCCCATTATAACGAAGAGCTCAAGAGAACACTCCAAGAAATTAAAGAGTTAAGTTCCTCTTCAAAGAAATTTTCATGTGTGAAAAGTCCATTGTTTACTATTGAGCTTGACCACATTATTCTTGATGAATTGCATTTAATGCTGAGAGTAACTGACAAACTGACTGAAAATTTAATCACAGAAGTAATGGAGAAGGATGCAAAGCAAGATTTTAACATGGCTCGGGGTAAGGAAAAGGGTGTAAACCTTGACATTCTCATTAAAACAATCAATGAACTCGGCATAACTTTTTCTCTCTGGGAGAAAAAAAATGCTGATGGGAAAGGCAGTGGAACATATGACTGGACTAGCCTTGTTGGGTCTGACAAGAAAAAGCTGACAAAACTTTTGCCAGCAAAACTTGAAGAACTAGATATCCTGTTCCCAGAAACAAAAGAAACAGTCATCAAACTCTGGAAAGATTTTTATACACTCTACAGTTTAATCAACTCTGATTCAAATGCTGGTGACTTTTACCTTGACATTTTCCAGAAATCTAAAGACTTTGTAAATTTGTTTTGTTCACTTGGTGGTGTTCGAATAGGATATGAAAAGAAGAGAGTGACTCCTTACATGCATGCATTAGTATATCATGTACCAATGTTCATCAAAAATCATAAAAACTTCAGACAGTTCACTGGTCAAGGCATTGAAAAAAATAATGATGATGCCAAGAAAATATACTTTCAAAAATCAAATAAGTGGGATGCGGCTCAGGATGTTCTGCTTCTGGAACACAGGCAGGAGGCACTAAAGCACTGCGAGAGAGAAAAAAGGCAGTACACCAAACGAAAAGCAGCTTACTGGGAGGATGGCATCATCGAGACACGAAAAAAAAAGAAAGAGGGCATGTTTAAGAGAACTACAAAATGACCACAATGGAGCTGATGTACAAGGAAATAACTTAAGCGAAGATAAATACAACAAAATGACTGTTAAGCAGTTAAGACAGGAAATCAAATCTATAGGTATTAATGTGAAAGGGATTGCAAAGCTGAAAAAATGTCAATTGGTTGAGATTTTGAAGCAAAATCAGTAACTATGGCAAGCAAAGGAACAACAGATATGCAGACATGTATCACAAAATATATTTTTTAATTTGATTATTTGCAAAAATATCTTGTGAATAATTTTTAATGCTAATATGAATACTAAACTTTTGTTTGTTTATATGCTTACAACAAAATAATAACAATAATTTTGATATAGTGTATTTAATCATAAAGCATATAACTTTCTTTGATTTTCAATTGTTGCAATCACATATTCCACTAGAAATCTCTGCAAAATTATTTTGTAGATTTTCTTGTTTTATATTTATCTGTTCTAAGATAAATTAAATGTTTTTACAATCGCATGCTTTCCTGTTGACATATATCATAACTTTTTCAACTGGAAAATTTGGAGCAATTTTGACCTGACCACTGGATAAAACGTAACGTTTTTTTGAATTGTTAAGGACAGTTTTTAACTTAACAGGAAAGTCAACTGCTATTCCTTGTCCAAGTTGATTGAAATAATAGTACCAATATGGTGGAAGTTCAAATCGAGTAAAATCATTTTTTTCATAGAGTATACTAACTCCGTCTTCTGCTCTTTTACCTTTTCCTTTAAAAACGTATCTCACAATATCATGATCCATTCTAATTTCAGTGGAATAAAGAACTTTAACCGCATTCGATTTTAGGATTGAAAGAATGCCTTCCAGAAATGCAACTGATGCGCTCTGTAGTCTTTCCACGGTAACAGTGGGGTTGCTGTATGCCCTAGAAAGTTTTTAATGCAGAAAACAAAACATAAGATTGGAATCGAAAACGTGTTACGGTTAAGACGATCAAACCATCTTCTATAATGAAGCTCACATTTAAGCTTAAAATCACCATCGAAAACAAACTAAATATACCTGATAAGATGCTCATTCAAATGAGCCGAAGGCTCCCACGTGCTTGTCCACAATGGCCAGTCCTTCCATTTTACTAGGTATTCAAAGTCCTGAAATTGTCAGAGATTGATTAGAGCTGTTTATGAACTTACTTCGATTGTAGTATAAATTTCATCCGAAGTAAAATATAGCTGCAGGAACATAAAAGGGTCAATACACATACCTCGTTCTTCAATCTTCGCCGGCTGATAAGTCTCTCCACAAAATAAACTTTAGATCCGCTTTTAAATTTTCTCCTTCCTTTCAAATGAACTTCTAAATCCACTGTAGAAAGAACATTTAGTGCTTTATAATCAACTCGATTCCTCCGCGGAAATCTACTTCGCTCCATGTTTACATGAAATCTGACGCCATAGCGCATGAACAGTAGAACCTGAAGAAACTACTGACCTCGCGGACCGCGGGAGTAAAATGTCTCGGATTGCTGGTAATGCAGTTACAAGGGAAGAAATGGAGGCTTTCATAGGCATAATAATTTTGATGGGCATTATCAAGCTTCCACGTTTTCGAATGTACTGGAAAGAAGATTATCTTATTCACCAAGAGGGTATCAGCAATGTAATGTCACGCACCAGATTTTTACAAATCTGGCGTTATTTCCACCTGGCTGATAATTGTTGCACCCCCAGTTGGTGATCCTGGATATGATAAACTTTACAGAGTCAGAGAATTTCTGAACATTATTTCCCGCAACATCAGCAGGGAGTATAAGCTTTCAAGGGATATTGCAATTGATGAAACCATGGTCCCTCACAAAGGCAGACTGTCGTTCAAACAGTACATCAAGAACAAACCAACCCAATGGGGGATAAAACTCTGGGTGTTATCAGAGTCCCTTACTGGCTATGTGTACAAATTTCAAGTGTATCTTGGTAAAGAGGGGGGCAACGCAGAAAAAAATTTGGCTCGGCGTGTTGTCAGAGATCTCACTGCACCAATTGAAGGGAACAACCACCATTTGTATATGGACAATTTCTACTGTGACCCTCATTTGTTCATTGAACGGATGAACTTTGGCATTTATTGCTGTGGCACAGTCAGAGCTGGAAGGAAAGGATTTCCTAAAGATATTCTTATTGCAAAAGAAGAACAGCACTTCTGGTGGCACAGAGATTAAGTTTCTTAGTGCTAATGATCTCCTTGTTGAATCTGATTCTGCAAATGCAGAAACCATAACAAGCACTCTTGTAAAGGAGTTAAATCAGTGTAACTTATCAGTTGGAAAGCTCAATGGCCTTTGCACGGATGGAGCATCAGTGATGACCGGAAAAACCAGTGGGGTAGCTACCAGACTCAAAGAGTTAAACAAACACCTTGTCAGCATTCACTGCATCTGCCATAAATGTCACTTGCTTGCTGTGACACTAATGATGAGATCACATACATGCAAGAAGTTGAGAGATGGCTTTTCCAGGCCTGGAAATTTTTTGAAAATTCCCCTAAACGACTTGCAGCATATCTAAAGACCCAACTTTCTGTGAAAAAGCTGCAAGAGCCTTCTAAAGAGGCTAAAGATAAGTGTGTCCGTCGACTTGCTAAAGCTACTCGCACAAGGTGGCTCTCTCTGGGCAAGGCTGTAGAGGGTGTACATAAGGATTACATACCCCTCATGCTTACACTAAGGCAACTTGACCAGAAAGATGCCAAGCATCAGGTCTTCTTGGAAAAATGTACAAAGTGAAATTCATTGGGGTGGTAACAGTCATGCATCACGTTCTTCCTGTTCTCAACAAACTCAGCTGCACCTTCCAAGAAGGAAAGATTTCCTTCTCCCATATAAAGCCAGCAATTCAGAAGTGTATTGACGATCTTGACAAGATTGTCCAGACGGGAGTTCCAGTCACCGAGTTTCTTAGAGATCTATCACCTGGAGGCAGACTGGAACAAGCTGATCTCATTGCTTCTGATGGAGATGAGCTGTTTCTCAGCAATTTCCTGGTGAAATATGTCAATTCACTGAAAAAAAGCTTAAACAGCAGATTTCCCACCCTTCCTCTCCTGTCTGCTTTTAGCATATTCGACCCTGCACTAGTTCCAGAAAGGGGCCAGCCGGGATTTAGGGATTATGGCAGTGTATCAGTGAAACTCTTGGCTGAGCAGTTCTTTGATGAAGACAGCGACAAAAGGCAGCTGATGGATGAGTGGCAGGTATTCAAGTACGACTTGGCAAAATGGAAGAATGAGCTGCCTGAGGAAGTAAGAAAGTCTCCTGGTGGGAGCAAACCTACAGTCACTTCAACTGACTGGTGCCTCCAGAAGCTAATGTTCATGAAGGACCTGGTTCCACTTAATCTTCCACTGGTTGCAAAGGTGGCAGAGGCAGTGATTTCTCTTCCAGTCTCAAATGGATGGCCAGAAAGGGGTGCCAGTTCTTTAAAACTGATGAAGACAAGACTTCGAATTAGGATGAAGAATGACATGCTCAACGCCCTACTACACATTCTCATTAATGGTCCAAAAGTGGGAAGTAAGGAATTTGAAGAAGTGATTGATGCTTCTGTTAGAGCTTGGTTAGCTGCAAAACCACGGCGAAAGTGTCCTCCAAAGTTTGTCAGCACACCAGTGGTTGCCAGCGCAGGTGATATAAGTGAGAACTTTGTAACTGTGCAGGATGCTGGTGTACAGACGGAGGGTGACGCGGAGGGTGTCACGCCAAGTCACCCTTCAATTGCAGAGGAAGTTGATGCAACCTCCAAAGCACTTGAGCTACCTGCAGATGACGGTGATGATTCAGATTAAGGCTCTGATTTCGATGACTTTTAGTTTAGTTGTTTCACCTAACACTGTTTATTTGTAAACAAAGTAAACAATATAAGCCAATGAGTTAGATTTAATATAATTATTCATGTTATGGATTTAGTGAATTCCCTGAGTCTGCGAACAGTTGCAGTAGTGTTTTAATGAAGTCAAAATGCTTGTCAATTTAGTAAATTGTGAACAGTTACAGTAGTGTTTTAATGAAAGAACAATGTTTGTCAATTTAGTAAATTCTCTGAAGCTGTGAACAGTTGCAATATTGTTTTTCATATAGTCACTTTGTGCTAGTGGGTAAAACCTCCTTAAATTATTCACAATTTGTGTTTGCAAAATGAGGATGTAGAATAATAAATTTCCACCTCAGAATGCTGGAAAACGCATTTCCGAGAGTCTTATTTTAAAAATTTTCCGGGGGAGCATGCCCCCGGAACCCCCTAGCGGCTCGGGCCTTTGGCCCTCGTGTCGGTGGGGGTGCCCGCTTACTCTAAGACAAGAACCCTCCTACTTCAAAAGTTAATGAAACCCCTGGAAAGCGTCATCAGTATGTCTGTTTCAAGCGAATCTTCGCGATTTTGGCGAAAGTTCACCGATGAACAGACAAGACACCTACTCAGTTTAACAAAGGACCTCATTGACAGCAACGCCATAAAGAAGGAAGTAGTTGGGAGAGGGTGGTTGGCGATCCAAAAGCACTGGAGCTTGGCCTAATTACCGGAAAAGAAGATGATGGTGAAATCCAAAGAGCTAAGCAGCGCCTCACCGATAAAGTACGCCAGGAAGCAAAGAAAGAACAACTAAGTAAGAAAAAGTGTTTATAAAATATGCAGTCAAAAGAGCGGTTTTCAACTAAGTAGCGGAAATAATATGAATTGGTTTTGGTTCTAGGTTACCCGCACGTTTTCTCGCCCTTCACGTCTGCTTCATTTTATTCGATGGTATCTTTTCTTTTCTGATTGGACGAAGTGATTATATCGTTTTTGCGTTTATGACACTTAGATGAAAACCGTTCTTATGCACAACCGACCAACACTAATCTCAATATTACAGCTCGCACAAATCCGTACCGTACAAATCCACAAAGCACGAGCAAGGCTTTTGTTTTTTTAAAGAGTAACACAATAAGTAAAATGTGCAAGCCTGAACGTGATATCAGGCACATTCTTGAAACTGAACTAGGTTAGAAGTCCAAATTAACTGGAGTAAAAGTTAAAGCGGCCGATGAACTTTACATGCAGGCATATTAGGCATATTAATCTCATTTTAGTTTCGTCATAATTATTGGAAAGATATGTAACCTTAGTGAACATAATAAGTCAGATAGGTATTTGATTATCTGTTTTGATACCAACTTCTTAATTTTACTATAGTTTGTTTGATTCACAACGCGAGTGGTGTTTGAACAAGTATTCCTTGCATAATTTTACATATACTTGTATAATTTCTTCGGTTGGGTTTTCGTTAATGATTCACTTTGTTTATCACTTTATTTTTAGTTCATAAATCAAGTAAGAACTAATCACAGATAAATATTGAAGATGACAGTGATAAATGTATTATTTTAGGTATTTAATTGAAATATATATGTATTACGATATCATTTAATAATATATACCAACTGGCGTTTTGTCTTGAATGCAGTTCTCTGATTGTCTACATTACGTTTTATCCATTTTATCTAGAACGTAAGAAGCGATTGTTGACAAAATGGCACCCCTTCTTGTTTCATGAAGTGTTTTTTTAGTGCAGGTTTTTAAAGTATCTTTGAAGATATTTGAGTTAATTTTTTTCTTAAATTTGAACTTCTAGAAGGTTTTTACTTAAGTGATTGATTTATTCGTTTTCGATTTTCGAAATCTCGAGTTTGTAATTTTAATTATTAAACATTATTTTCTTATCAAATTTCCTTGGCTGGGTTTCCATCACAGGCGATATATAGTTGCAATATTCTAACGATTTTGTTAACAAAAATCTTATCACAATAGTACAGAAAATAGAAGTTGGCAAAAATAACAGGAAACGCTATTAGTAAAAGGCCAATAAGTATAATGATTACGTGATATAAAATTTGACTCTGAGTGGTTAATCTTTTGATAATTATATTCTTAGATTTCGACTTCAATTTCTATTTCAAAAATCACTTTTGCTTAATTACAATAATAAATTAAATTAATTTGTATGACGCTGATCATGAGTAGCCAATAAATGCATTGTTGCTGTTGTTGTAGTAGTAGCTGTTCTAGTGGTCAATTTTTTTAAGGCCCCTTCACCTGGCTTGGGAATTCCCTTATCGTAGAAGTTAAGCGCCGAATACCTATGTAGGTTAAAGACTGTTAAAGACATTTTAGGAGTTTCAGGCACAATATCCAGAAGTTAAAATAAAACAACGGAAATTCGAGAGTTTGAACCCATTTTTTGTGCAGTCTGCAAGAGAAAAGGACGGAAGATCCTGCCTATGTAGAAAACATGTTGAAACACAAATAGTCTTCAAAGACTGTATGAAATTTAGAAAGGCCGTGTGCCGAAGAAATGGCACTGATGCAGTTGTTCCCTCCACAGCCACCACAGTCTGAAATGTGTGACCAGAGAGTGCAGCGATTGTGGTGTTAGCAACCTTGAGCTCCTTCCTGAAGAAGTGTCAGAAGAATCTATGGAGGAAGTGACATGGAAACGCTACGAATATAAATATTCTCTTGGATGAGAGTCTCTTTGGTGTGCGCAGAATGCCAGCACTTTTTTATAACAACCCCAATGCCACCTAACATCCCATGTCCCAATGCAACTAAGAATCATCTCAGAACGCTCTTCATATCCCAAAAAAAGAAGAGAGAACATTCAACACAGTCAAATCAATTACTAACAACACATTATGCTATCGCCCTGGCCACATCATCAGCAACATATTTATTCACTTACAGGCCGAAGAAAAAACTCCATGTGGGTAAATTTGGTCAGCGTACCAACAAGACGCTAGACTGGGAATTTGACGACCCCCAAAAGTTTTCCACCTTCTGCAACAGCGACACCCTCCAGATCAAGTACGTGGGTATCCAATCAGACGACCGTGTGGAAGTACAGAACACTCTACAAGAGGAAGACGAATCCATCTCGCCCAACCTAAACATATTTATGGCCTGTTCCACGACCTGTTGGGCTTGTCTAAAACTCTATGACGCTCTTGACATGTTAAAAGAACAAGTGCTGTACAAAGACATGGCCTCAGTCGTGTTCCTTTCCGCCAAGGGAATGCCCGACCCACCACTGAGAGATTATCTGGAAGACTTTAAGGACGAATTGCCGCCAGACGACTACATAGTAGAATTTGCCTCCGGAGGTCCCAAGAACTACGGGTACAAGCCCTCA